GTTGTTGTTAATACACTGTAAAAAGACCATAGACCCTGTGACTTGATATAGTCTCTTAGGTTGGCTGTTGTGACATGGCAGAAGACAAGAGAAGCAAACACCAAGAGTAACTCATTGGCAGGGGAGATTTCCAACTTAGATGACCAGTCAGCATCAACGTCAGTGCTAGCAAGCTAGGACACTGTCCACAAAATTACTGTCAAAGTCAAGGCTCATAGAAAAAGAAAGCATAAGCATAGTACTAGCAAGGAATTAGAAAACAGACAGCTAGCAGTCTGAATGGTTGGGCAAGCCAGCCTTCATAAGAACTCTGTGGTCTCATCTCTCCCAAAGAGGCTTTGAGGACAGCACTGCACTCCAAGGTGAAATGGGTTTTGTGTAAGCCTCCATCCTGCCTTCTAGGAAGCAGGTAGAATGGTAGATATTGTTAGAATAAGGAATGAACTTATCACAGCCTTTTCTCATGTCCCACTAATGAAGGTTATGGGGGATTTAGTGGTACCTAAGTTTTTATATTTTTAAAGAGGACACCTGTATTTAGAGGGATAAATTGACATTTTCTAAACCAGAGAGCCTTTGCAATATACTCCAATACTTAGCTTTTGTCCTCCACTACCTCTTCTTTCCAGCAGAATAGTCTACAAGTCTGGCATAGTTAGCTGTATAGGTCAATGATAGCCGATCTACAAGTAAGCATTACCCAGGGACATGTGTGTCCCAGGACTCAGAATTAAGTTTTAACAACACCATTAATCAAGGCAGCAAGTGGCAGAGTTCAGCTCAGATGTCACACAAATATATCAGGCAGTGTGTCATTTCAACCCAATACTTTCTCAGAATGATTTGAGTCCAGGAGGGATATTTCCTTGGCCAGCTTATAGGCTGACTTCCTCAATGGAAAGTAACCTCCTATGCCATGGAGACAAACAGGTTTGTGCTAGTCCATAGGTGGTCTTTGGGTGATTCACGAAATGCATGTAGGATGTTGTGATCCTCAAATTGCCTTCCATGGTTGAATTGCTGCTGGCAGTACTCTAGGTAGGGACAGAGTTCTAGGCCAGATGGAAGTAAGTAACAGCATCCCTTTGGCTTCCTAGAAGGTAGTGGGTATTCTTGTCAATAGACCTAGATCACATGGGGAGCTTTGCAGAATAACCACAGTTCAGCAAAGTGGAAGAGCTTGCAAACAGAAAAACCCAATGGAGACTCTCAAAGATACTGTGGTGGGTTTTGTTTGTCTGACATCTTTTGGGCTTATGTGAATAGCAGTTATGTCAAAAGATGGATTCACTGGAGGGCAGTGTTCTCCACTAGTTCAGTTCCATCCTTGATTACAATATATCAATTTCAACAATTACACATGATGTAAGGTTGACTCAAGTATAATAAAACAGCATCATATGGTTGGCATGTGCTTTTCTAATCATAGGACTTAAGGATAATCTTGTGTGTTGTCCATGTTTGTGTGAAATAACCTTGAATAAATACGGGCATTCCAAACCAATGGATGATTCTTGGTATTCAGCCATTACTCAACAGTGAATAAGAATGCCCCATGCATACATATCAGGCAGCAAGTAGTGGCTTAGAGTCACGGTGCTTTGGGCTATGAATACAAAAATTCTCCCTGCTCTGTTCCCATGGGCCCATACACCCTTTCTTCATAGAAAGGTACCTTCCTAGGTAGTATCAGCTTTATACAGGCCATTTTCAGGCAAGCTGGTTGAGCCTTCTCTTTCTTGCTGTTCATCCTGCCTCACTGTTGCCATGGAGACTGGGACGCCTTCTGAGCTCTGTGCTTTATCTGGAGTCCAGCCTTCAAATACCTTAGCACAGTTCAACCCACTCACTCCCCTGGCTTCTGAGATTGTGAAAGCATCTAAGCTGATTCTTTCAATCAAATGGCTCAGGAGTCTTCTTGCCACAGTCAATTGATGTTTTCAGGGTTTGTGCTCAAATTCTAGTGGGCGAATGGCAGTCTATGTTTCCATGGAGGACTGTGAATTCAGATCTCTTATTTCTAGATAAGAATATTTGATTTCAATCCTTATAGAAAATACAACCACCACAGTGTTAGATCAATGCACAGGTGGGTCAGGCCAGCAGGGCCACAGACTGGTGTGGGTCAAACCAGGAGGTAGGCCAGGAAAAGTGCTGCAAGAAGACAAAGGTTAGCTCAGACATGGAAAAGAGTGCTGAGTGGGGTGTGCTCAGTTGATGTGGTGACTGTGTGTGGAAGGGGATCTCTGAAAGCATCCTTAACTTCTCTTCTTCTCAGTCATCACTCAAAGCCATGAAAAAATATGGAGAGTAAACTTCATGCCTCTGTTTTCTTCCTCCCTAAAACAAATGCAGCAAATGCTGAATTCATGGGCAATGTTTCCCATCAGGCTATCTTTGGTCCCTTCCCAAATGTTCCTTCTGTACTATAAAATTCCCTTCCCATCTCATTAACAATCTTGTCTCCTCCACTCTTTTCTTGTTATATCATTTGCCCAGAATCATCATTGGGTAAAAACTATGCATTTTATTAATTTTAAAATTGAATCCTTGCTTTATTACCTTCTCAGAGAGTCAGAGATAAGTCAGATATTATTTGTGCAATCTCCTGAATTTCCATAGCCCTACCATGCCTCTTGCTCAGATATGGGGCTTAAACTGTCAGAGAGACACCTTGCCACTTCCTTTGTTGCTGAGATTAATAACACACCAGGGCTATGGGTTTCCCAGCTGAAACCCCCATCACTTTTCTTAGCAGTTGCTTCCCTCTTTTTTTTCCTGCTACAGACCCTATGATGTGTCTTACTGGACATCAAGATTGATCATAACCAGCCTCTTTTCAAGGAAGTATCACTTAGAAAAAATGATCTACTCAGGAACTCCCAGTGAGATTTGAAAATGTCTTTACTGGGCAAAAGCTCTGACATTCTCCCTAAGTCTCCATCTCCCAGACAACCTTGGAGTAACCCCAGTACCTTCTACAGCCTGTAGCTCTTCATAGGAACACACAGACTTCTTTCCTGTTTATAGTGTGTAAGAAAGCTTCTACTTCAAGTCTTCCCCTGCCTGTGGTGCAGGTGTCTGATCACCTTACCTCATCCATCTGTGGCAGGAGTAACTCCCTCCCACAGTACTCTCCAGATTCATCTTTACTGCACATCTTCTGCACATACTGTCAAGACTTGACTTTGCTTCCCCAGTGGAAAGGGGACAACATAAGGATGCATTGTATTTTGCCTCCTATTTTTCTCCTGTTCAATGTAGAGTTCACTACTTGACCTTATGGCATGAGCCACCTTTAAAGGGTTGGAGTAAGGTTGTGAAACCACACAATTGAGAAGTCTTGTTAGTTGCTGGATTCAGTCTGAAAAACAGATGCATAACTGCACTTCTTGAGGTATGTGTAATAGAAAACCAGCCTCCAAAAAGTCTCCAAATGTCCTAGCCCTCCTGATAATTCTTGTCTCTGGATAGTAATCTCATGTCCTGAAGAGAATTGACATGTATACCCGACAGGATAATATGAAGATGATATGGTGTGTTTAAGCAACACATTTGGACATAAAAGACTTTGGAGCCTATGTCTTTTTTTTTCTATGAATCTGGGGATACCCAGCCAACACATCATGAAATCACTCAATTAAACCACAGAGAGAGTGTTATGGGGAGGGATGGAGGCCTCCTGCCAATACAATGCAACATAATATGACATCTTGGAATTACATGCTAATGCTGGTCAGTACTTTCGTTGACCCAGCCCTGCCTATCATGGTAAATGAAAATCCACAAGAGAGTACCCTAATTCAATAGATCCCAAATCCCCAACCCACAGAAACCATGCTCCATAATAAATGTTTATTTTATTTTAAAGTGTTGAGTTTAAAGCCTTCTGTTTCAAGGCAATAGGTAATTACCACTGAGTGGATATGTAGGGGTTGGTAACTCCAGGTTTGAATTGATACAAGTGTCTCTATGATTGTTGTTTTTCTGTGTTTAACTGTGTAGCACATTCCCACTTCTGTAACAGCTGGTTTCATTTTTATTCTGCAAGTCTTAATAGCCACAAATGCCACCTGTATCCTCAATAAACTTTATTTAGACACAAATAGACAACAGAAAATACATACACAGATACAGTGATCTTTTTCTCTATAGGATAAACACACATCACAGGGAATTTAAAAAGTAGGATCATTGAACGTAAGAAAATAATGCAAAGTCCTTGTTCACTCACACTTGAAACAGACACATATTTCAGAGAAAGACAGAAATGGAACATCCCAACAACAGGGTTCACATTTAGTCTGTAACAGCACACAGGTGTTGGGAAGGTACCAAAGGAGTCAGGGATCCACTGACAGAATGCTCACAACACTAGTAGGACTATTTAAACAAAAGACAGAATCGGGGAGGATTCCATACCCCTGCGCAGATGCTCTGCAAGCTGTCAGCTAGGTCATAAAGCAGCTTGGCAGAAATGCTAACCTAGCTTTCAAGCTTTCATCTTGCAGCTTGAAGGACTGAACAACCTCTACCTTTGTGCCCATAGAGTTTTACAGACACACACCGAGGATGCCGGAACTGTCCACATAAACGCTGGCTTCAAAACTTACAGTACAGAACATTGACATTGGGTATTAGATAGGGCTTTTGAAAGGGAAGGGAGTAACAGCCCAGAGACAAACACATACTTTACAAGTACTGCATCCATTGGTAGCATTTCCCACCATGATGCCTGTGTTCCCTTCCCATGTAGAGCCACCAGTACTTGTGTCCCCGTCATGTATAGAGTGTGATGGATGTCTCTTGGAGATCTGTTACCCTCTAAAGTCATAAATGTGACCACCTGGTCATCTCTGTGCCCAGGACATGCTGCCATGAAACCACCCCACTTATTCCTGATCCTGAGTAAGCCTCAGGACTCCACACCATCTTCACACTTCAGACTGTGGTTCCCTAGGCAACCTCTGTATTTTAGTAAAAAATTGTTTCCACTGTACCCTTCGTATGTCCTCTTCCTAATGTGACAAATCCAGATGAGATGAAGTTATGGAGATCTGGTCCTCCACTTCGGTAAGCATCCTTCCCATAATGCCCTGCAAGAAGATGGGCAGAATTACCTGACGCGTCCATGACAGCAACACAAAAGGCAATAACAGCTCCATCTTACCCACCAATTGTGGTGGTATGCTTATGGTCAAAACAGCAGCTAAGTAACAAGGTCATATATATATATATATACATATGTATGTATATATATATATGAGAATATATCGCTATGTGCAATACATTATACATACACATCGTGTGTGTGTGTATATATATATGTGTGTGTATATACATATATACATATATATATATATGTATATATAACAAAGATTAATGCTACTTTGAAAGTAGAGGAAGAAAGGAAGACACATGGTTTGACTGTGGCATTTCTGAGCATCCACAATGTACACTAGGATGTTACTTTATAGATGATGCTTAACTTACAGTGGGGTTGCACCTTAACCAATGTAACTTGGCAGTACAACACAATAGAGTGTTACTGTTTCCACTGTGACCACATCTGTCAGGCTGCTATTGCTCACCACAGAAGGCAACACTAAATCTTGGAAGCCCAAGAAGAGATAAAAAAAAAATTCCAAATGTAAAGCATAGCTATTGATTATGTACTGATTTGCATCATCATACATCCAACAAGTCAGACAGTGAACCGACGTGAGGACACCTGTACTTGTCCCACCGCCTTTTCTTAAAGTTTACAGATGTTTGAGGAAAGAATGCATTAAGCACATAATAGGGCTGCAAAGTTTCAAATCAGTGCATTGCAAAAAGATATTAAAATGTTGAAAAAAATGCATAACTAGAGGCTGGAAAGATGGCTCAGTGGTTAAGACTGCCTGTCTGCACCCACACAGAGCACAATCATCTGTAACTCAAGAGAGTCTGACACCCTCACCTGGCCCCTTGGTCACTGAACACATGTAGTGTATAGACATATATGTAAGAAAATATCCATATACATAAAAATAATAAACAAATAAATAAAATCTTTAAAAAAAAACATTTTAAAACAAAAGATGCACAGAAACCTGCAGCTTCCTTGTAGAAATTGGAGCATGTGAGTTCCTTATGCCTCCTTTCAACTCCTGTATTTCCCAAGTTCTTTTCTATAATTATTAGCTTATTTATCTTTGTAGCCTTGTATTATTGTTTCTTTTTATTTTCCTTTCCAGAGCATATGGGATTGGGCCTGATGGCAGAGTCTTTCTGTGTGTTTATCTACAAACCATGCACAACCTGTGGGACCATAGACTAGCAACTTAAGAGAAACCCAGAAACAGCTGAGCTGACAGGTGGAATAGCGACCATAAAACACTGGCAAAATCTTTATGTTTTGCTTTCTTGACTCCCTGCAATAAAACTGTATCCCCTAACTGGCAAAATACAGACATCTTCATATGCATTGAGGTAAGGAAAAGACGAAGGCTGGTTGAGGACTGTGGAAGAAGAAATTGAGAGAGGAAGAAGTAAATATTCTACTTCTGACATTCAAATAGTGCATTCTATGGTGCATTTGAAACACGAGCATTATAAACATTGTGAAGCATGAACCCTTCCCAGTACCATCCTCCAAACATACATCCACAAGTATGGGGGCAAGTCGCCATGCAGTCATACTGCCACAGTGTGGATTACAAACAGAACTTGTAAAAGGTTTCTGAAAAATGAGATATTAAATATGATAACAGCATCATAAAATTTTAAGCAAGTACATTAAAAAGGAAAATGATTGAAAGAAAATACACAAGGATCTTGTCAGCTGAGAGATAATTCTTTCTTCAACTATTCATTATTTTGTGGGGGTGTTTTGTCTATAGTGAACACACAATTCTCTAATACAAACACAGAAATAAATATCTCGAAAAAAATTGTACCCCATGCCACCAAAACAAGATGAATACTTCTTAGTAAACCATGTCCTAGAGTTCTCAATACCGAGTAACTTGAGAATCATGTGGGACTTTGAAAAGCTCAGATACCCAGACAAACGTCAGACATTCTGTCTCAGGCCATCTCTTTTCATTTCCAATGAACTACCAGGATTGAGAACCACTGCCCCAGCACCCAGCACAAATGAAAAGATGGGGACTCATACGAGCAGGGGTACCTTTAAGAGCTATGTATAGTTAGGGCTCCAGTACTCTTCCTCTGAAAGGTGAAGTCTGTCCCCAGGTCCTTTCTTATCCCAGTTCCAAAACCTGAGTGAGCATAAGAATACTAGAAACACTTAAATAAATAGGTTCAGCAGACCTGAGACAGGGTTCAAGAGTTTGCAATTCTATCAAGGACCCTGGGTCAGGGATAACAAAACCATGATAACTCTGCCACTGATTTCATTAACTCTGAAGCACATTACATCATTCATTCCTCAGCTTTTCACAAGGGAAAACTATGGAAACCATTCATAGCTTCATGGCGCTACACTAAAGGCTTCTGCCCAAAGCTCAAGCTATGTGACAACTGCTAGAAGCTGGATAAATCATCTTTCTCAAGAGGAGCACCAGGACCCCTCTTTCATAACAGGCACAAGTGCTCCCCCACCTCATCATAAAAAGGATGAAAAGGAAGTACCAATCCAGAGCCCTCATAAATGTGGACCTCATTAATTCAGAACCTGTGATGCATCCTGCAGAACTTGGACTGGTTTATTTTTGAGCTCCTTATAAATAAAAATTCTGATAAACAAATCAATACTAAGGAAGATGGAACATAAAACAGAGCCTGTGCTGTTTACAAATCATTCTTATCTGTCAGATGAACAAGGTCCCTCAGGACTAAACATTACTCTAGTGCTCTGGGGCTCTGCTTGTCTGGAAAAGAACTGAAGTTTCTGGATCACTTCCTGCAGGCCAGGCAGAGGGATAGAGACTCAGTGAGCATGGCTTTTGTGACAACAATAGATAACATTTTATAGTATTTTATAGTTTACACAAATTTCTTTCTGCAGATACTACTTTCTTAACATTTTAATCAATACTGCCTGCAAGTCATTTATTATGTTGATTATTTTAATATTACCTCCCAATTTTATTGGTGGAAAAACTGAGTTCAATGGGCAAAACCTGGGAGATGCCTAGCCTATACTTATATTAGTCCTCTGACTATCAATGCTACTGTGGATATCTGGTTTTGCTAACACCTAGTTCCTTGAACTGGTCAGAAGGCAATCTTCAATTCCACCCTGGTCTTGTGCTTTCCAAGTCCAAAATCTTTCTGCAGTCCTCACCCTAGTTGCCTCAGGGGTACAGCTATAACTTTTCTCCAAGACTGCACCCAAGACAAATAGTAGAAATGTAAGAAAAAAATCTAGGACCGCTGACAGTGGAACCAGGATGTATCCCTGGTGCACAACAGGACTATGGAATCATATTTCCCCACGGAGGGATACTCCTTTAGCCTAGAGGCAGAGGGTGGGGTAGACCCTACTCCAAATGACTTGACAGATTTTGATGATCCCTCCTGGAAGGTATCACCCTCCCTGTGGAGTGGGGGAAGAGTGGGATGGGAGGGACGTTGGGGGCATGGGAAGGAGAGGGAACTGGAATCGACATGTAAAATAAGAAAAAGTAATAAATTTTAAAAAGAAAAAGAAAATAGGAGGTAATATCCAAGTTCCTAGGAACTAATTCTGAGCTGGAGAAAAAAAAGTAAATGGTGTTGATAGTACAGGATGAAAGAATTCTGTGGCCAATTCAGTTTGCAGAATTTTGAGTTAAATCAAAAAAGCTACATGACAACCAATTCTACAGGTTTCTTCTTATTCTGTCTTAAAACAGGGTCTCAGGATGGAGTCCAGTTTGACCTCAAAGTTCTTAGACTCCCACTTCAGCCTACATATTGCTAGAATTAATTGTGTGCATCGCTTTGTGATCTTCAAAGGCATCTCTAAGGACAGTTTTCTGGAGATCAACCTATGAAGTAGAGATGGAAAGCACAGCAGTGACAGCTTCAACCTTGCTTTGTTTGATGGTCCTCAAACTTGAGCAAACACTCAACTCCTCAGGATGGCACAAAGGTAACTTGGCTCTAGCCCTAGAATCTCCTAGGTAGGGGAAGGTGAGCCTCAATAACTATTTCTGACAAGTTCTTGAGTGTGATAGCTAATCCTCACTGTCAACAAGACTATATTTAGAACCATCCTAAAGATTGGTGAGACATGCCTCTGGGTGTGACAATGAGGTTCTGTCCAGAGAGAATTTACTTACAGGAAAGACTCACCCTGAACATAAGTGGCTCCACACCATAGGCTAAGCATCAGGAAAGACTGGATGTGGTCAAAGAAGAAAGCAAGTAGAGCTTCACTGCCCTCTCCTTCCTGGCCCACCCTGATGCACATAGTGCTGCTCTGTAATGCCTAACCCAGAATGGATGGATGGAATCTTCTAGATGATAAGCTTAATCAAACACATCTTATTTGAAGTTGTTTCTGTCAAGAAAAGTGATCAAATGCCTGCAAAGCAGATGAAACACTATGCCCCAAAGACTGTATCTTGTGATTAGTATGTTGGGACTAGTGACAGGTGAACCATCAGCTGGACCCACAGCCAAGTCCAAAATGATGTAAACGCCTCTGCATAAACAAGGGAAGAAGGGCTGGAAAAGAAAAAAAGAGCAGCCCCATGCAGGTGGCCAATCAGAATAGAGGAGTCCGTGCCTCTCTGTGTCATGATGATGCACTGAGTTGATAGACTGATGATATGAAGGAGATGAGCATGTACCACCAATTTCACAGGATGTCACTCAAACAACCAGTCCTCTCCTCCATCCTGTAGAAACAGCCATCAATCTCTGCCTATACATCATCTACCAGAGCCAGAGGATCAGGAAGTACAGGTTCTCTTTGAGAAAACCAGAATTACAGACAAGGGACTATGAATGTATCAGCGCTGTATGTGGAAGTAAGCAAGAGCTTTGTGAAGCTCTAAGAGTCCCCATGTCACAGGACAGAAAAACATGCAGTCCTACCCAGGAGCAGGGTGACTCCGGGCTTCAGCACAAGCATGCCACCACCTGCTGAATGGAACACAGC